ATAAAATGGAAAATTACCTTCAAACAGCTAGAAAACAAAAATGCAAGCATCAAGAAATTGAAAGGGAAGTGGTTCCAGGCAATGTTTTTTTTCCTGTAACGGTAAGAGCAGCTTAAGCTAGGCTGTTCTCCAGAAAATAAGACTGTTTTCCATGTGTTAAAACATGCAGGAAAAACACAAAGCAACCCCAGTTTTACAGTAACACCAAGGGCCTAGTTCTCACACAGAGAGACTGCCTCACTGCACCAAGTGTCACAAAATGAGGATAAAGATGTATCTGCAACACTCTTAAAGCCGTGTGTGTGTGTGTGTGTGTGTGTGAGCGCGCAGCTTAATGTTCTCATTCTTGGTAACACAAGCATCCTGCCAGCTTCTGCTCTATAAAAAGCGTGCTTATGCAGAGTAATTCAAGTGACAAATCTATTCCCCTACCTCTAGACAGCAGATATCCCTTCATGTATGACAATGCTTTCTGCCTGCGTATGCCTGCCCTCTGGTTCATTAGTTCTGACTTATACCCGGACTCTTGGGCCAGGGTTTGGGTTTAACTCACATTTTCATTTCCAAATTAGAGACGCTTAAGCACTTGACCTATCTCAGCAATTAGGTTTAAGTTATCTTGACGAGACCATAAAATTTGAGCTGGAAGGCTCTCCTTGGCTTCCCTCAGTTCAAGTTACCATCACACAGATATCAAAAGCAGGACTGGAACTTGGAAAGACAAAATCCAACTCGGGTAAGAACAACAGCCCTCTACACACCATGCACACTCAAAACATGCACTGAGCCTACTGTGATGCTGCAACCACTTAATTCTTGTTTTGCCACTCATTCAACCACCACTGCTCAGCTGACAGGCTCTGGGGAGGGAAGAGGAGCAAATTAACTTCAAACCTTAGGAATTCATTAAATGGGAGCCCACATTCCTATCTTCAAGGGAAGGAAAACAAATCTTAAAGAATTTAATTCCCACTGAAGAACAGTTCCGTAAGAGATATTTGCCTAATATGTTTGTGATGTAGTTCAGAGGCAGCCATCCAGCACATAAGATGCAATAAAGACAAAAAGGAGTGAAGAGTTAGGTGGTTTTATTACGGTTTTCTTTCTTCCCTGCACAAAATTATTGGAAAATCCTGAATAACGACAAAGACAGCCAAGAACTCAACATGCAAGCTAAGTGGATTCTGTTAAGTCAATACACACCCGATCAGCTACAGTGCCACCCAGAAAATCCCACTGACACTGCATAAATTCATTATCTTGGCTTTAAATCGATCTACACCTATAAATGATAAGCAATGCATGATGTCTGTGCAGTATTTGCTCCTATCAATAACTGTTCTTTCCCATACGTTTCTTACCACAATCTATTAAATTTGCTTGGTTTTTGCTCCTTCTCCTGAAGCCCAAGACCTTTTCTTTACTCTTTGGCAGTAGGAGAGAATATCTTCTGACGTGTTCATTTTTAGGCTTAGAGAGGTTGGTTTGGTTTTTAAGGCAAGGAGAAACAAAGAACAACTGACTCCAAGAATGGCAATTTAAAAACGTTTCCACAAAACAGTCTTGTTTCTTAGTAATAACCTTGAAATAAACCCAGCCAGCCAGGAAAAATCTCAATCTTGAGGCACAGCAATGTAACACAGCAATGAGCACATGCAGATTTTCACATAATCTGTACAAGTCCCAAATGTAAAGACAAGTGAAAAACTGTACCTCAATCCCTAATCACAGCCCTTAAAAACATGCCTAAACACTTTCAGTATCTCTCAAGTCCTAACAAAGATCACTACTTACTCGATCATCATCAGAGTCCTGCTCTGCCCTGAAGCTCAGACAGATTTCATTGCTAGCAACTGGATGGGATGCAGATACCTGAGTTATTATGCAGTTTGTCAGATTCAAAAGCTGTTCTCTCCAGGTTTTCCTATTCTCATGATAGTATTAATTGTTCTAGGGACTCCTGTCCTTCACGTTCAACTGTCTAAGCTGTGACCCCAAAGTCCAAGTCAGAGTTTATCTATGTTTACACCAGAGAAAGCTGTGAAGCTGTATTGGGTTTACATGGCCAGGTTTTGGTACCGGCAGGACTACAGAGGTGGCTTCTGTAGAAGCTGCCAGAGAACTGCCACTAGCCTGGCTGGAAATCAGTGAAAGTATTGGCCCCACAAAGAAAGCTCATGCTTCCAGTGGCCTTGGAGTTCGATGCAGAATGTGAAGAGAGGGCAGGGAAAAGTGTCAGAAATCTCCAGGCATAAATTCTGGCTGTGAGAAAAGCCCTCGGGAGCATCAGTTTTATTATATTGCACTAGGAATGCTTCCAGATTTAGAAGCAGCTTAAACATAACCACAGTCAGCAGCACAAGTCTGCATAAGCTCACTGCAGCAGTTCTTCACATCTACATTTATTTGCTGGCAGGACTGCATTGCATCGCCCTAATACATTAGTCTTATTGAGTCTGCTTCCTTCTGTGCCAACAGATTAGCATTAGCCACCTTAATAGGACTCTATTAACATTTCTTGATTGCATTAGACACTGGCATTGCCTGGACTCACTGATTTGATTTACAGTGTCAACTGCAGCATATTTTATTTTATTATTTTGTTTCAGAGAACGAAAAGACCAGCTCTACTTCAAAATACAGGCCAGCTTCTCGGTAACGATGCTTTCACGTCAGCATTATCCGATTTGTTGACTGATTCTTGGAAGCCAGATTTCAGCAATTTTTGCAAGCAAGGTAGCAATTTAGATATAATTTCAGTTGTTCAGTACCACAATTTCTGAGGATAGAAGGGGAAGCCATGTAGAAGTGCAATGCCTTTAACAGAAACACAGAACATGACTAATTTGCCAGTGGCAATAGTTGAACTAGAAGCACGGGCAGCAGTTCCCACAGGCTGCCGAGGCAGCACGACAGGCTGAGAGCGGGACACAAGGCGAACATTTCCGAGTGCTGGAAGGATGGCTCACAGAAACACACAGGTGCTTTTCTTCTAGGAGAAGCAGAAGAAAAGTCTCCGACCTAAACTGTTTCCTGTTGCACAGTACTGCAGGTGGCTGCACTCGCCCCTTTCCGAGGGAGCTGACCGGGGGCTCGTCCCGCGCCTGCAGCCAAACAGCAGAGGAGAAGACAAAGCACAGCACCTCGCAGCACCAGAAGCTGAATTCTCTAGTTAGGCTAGCACCAATTGTAATTAACTCTAATTAAGATTAATTATGATTAAGATTACAGTCAGTGATTTTCTTCTGTAAAAAAAGTCTTGGTTTTTTTCTCCAACAAAGAACAGCTGGAATTCCATTGGTACTTCGCTGCATCTGGGATCTGGTGATGTGATACATGAGTATAATATGATGTGGAAAAGCACTCTCTTGATTTTCCCTGCACTAAATCATTTCACATTTTAATTTTTCTGTGGCTGACACTATCACATATCTGCATGAAGACAACTCTTGTAGGACCTACAGAAAACAATTTTCCGAGCTGGGTTTGTGACTCACCATACACCCCAAACTCACAGTAGCTCTCATGAAATAAATTGCTAATTAAAACCAAAGTCACTTTCTAAATGAAAGAATCAAAGTAACATTTTAGATTTATAATATGCTCATTAGCCAATTTACCAATGTTAGATACTGATTTTCTTCACACTAAGATGTATAAATAAGGATCTCAACTGAAACCTATACCCTGTATAGCTATAGCTTCCATAAGGGCAAGAGTAGCAGAGACAATCAGTTGCATCCTCCTGTGATAGGCCATAAAATAGCTAACTGACCCCACACTTGAATGATCACCTCAAATCACCCCTGAAGAACGTTCAGCCCCTCTGACTCTAATTTACAATAAAAATCAAGAAAACAAGAAAATCTTCTTTCCAGGAACATCCAGGATGTTACTTAACTAAGAACTGCTACAGAAATAGCTCCACATCCTATTGAGGGCAAGTCAGACCGCACCTCTGTAGATGGCACCCACATTTAGATGCGAGTCAAATTTCATCCTTGGTGTTTAGTGACTGTACATAGTTCCAGCAAACTGCAGAAGAAATAGTTCCCTAATGACAATTAAGCAGTGCGTAAGTGCACTTCACTCCATGTGATCTGGGGCTATTTCCAAAAAGAGAGGGGTAAAAAAAAAAAAAAAAACCACAGGAGGAATTAAAGGAATAAAGGAATGTCTGTAGCCAACATTCTCAATGCTCAGAACTAAGGAAATGGAAGAGAAACAATAATAAGAAGTAAAGCCTAAAAGGCTCTGAAAAGCACTTTAAGAAACAAAGGTCTCTGAAAAGTCTCTGAAAATTGAATAGCTAATGCTGCTGATTCCCGACTTTCATTTAACCACATTCCTATGCAGTTTTAAAAGGCCTAGTGTCCAAAACCCACCCATGACCTAAGTCCCAAGCATCCTAAAACAGAACAGTCACCACTGTCACTCAATAATTCCACACACTCTGCTACCAGTACCAAAAATGCTGTTTCAATATTACTTGTTATGCAAAAATTGTATTTAAAATACCTATCAAGTCAGGAGAAAGAAAAGGCATCTACTTCTTCCATTCCCGTAACTGGCACTACTTCTGACCTGGAATAAGCCAGTACTGTGCGGGGCAGGCCCCTGATCTTTAGCTGCTGTGGAGATGAAACATGCGCAGGGCACAGCAGTACTTTCCGTAAAACAGAAGGATGTCTGCCTGTGGAAGTGATGTCCTCCAGTGGCCAGCATGCTTTACCAGGGTACAGGGCTTTGCCACCAGATCTAATGATATGAAAAGTCATTTTATAAACGCTACGGGAAGCGAGCCTAGCCCTGCTGTGAAGCCACAGCCATGGCACCTTTCTTCACTGGTTCTGCCTTCTCCTCAGCTTGAATTAGTTTTTACAAACACTAACTACAACAAGAAAAGAAAACTGTGACTCCAGTGTTCGCTACTTACAGCAGCACTTCCCCAGCAGGATCAGCACAAACACTCTGGGAAGGAAATAGTGGTGATTTTATACCTGAAGTATACTTGTGAGAGGGCAGAGTAGCAGAACAGTAGGCACAGTCCAGAAGCATCAGTTTAAGAATCACGCCAGCATCTCTTTAAAGGCCCTCTTCCCCTTCACGGTGCACAAAGCAGCAGTTTCCTTGTCATGCAAACAGGACAAATGAAGGAAAGCAGACTGATGCGAACGCCCTCACACCAGCCCCTCGCGTGCACTGGCAGCATCGCCACGGCACCACCAGACAGTCCAACAGCCCATCGGGCACGGGAGTGCTTGCACCCACCTCCCAGAGGGTGCATTCACGCAGCCTGGGATAGGAACGGCACTGGATGTGATTACAGCACTGGGCTTTCCTGTAAAACTAATGCAATACGATTCACGTCGCTGTCATAATATTACAGATTTCAAGCTCCGCAGCAGGGCCAGCAGTTTGCTACATCTTTTGCTTGGCAATAAGCATTTGCCAATCAAGCCTAGACATAAGCACATGCCACAGACAGAAGACCATAAAAAAAAAGCATTCCTAAATACTACCACCACACCAACCTGGTTAGCAGAGACAAAACAGCACACGGCATTCTCATAGCTACTGAAAACTCAGTCTTTTACATAGCAAAATATTCAAGACTGAATCTATCTCAATAAAAAAACAATTAAAAATAAGACTCCATTGCATAGATTAAAACATTTCCACTTGTCAAAACCTGTCTTAGAACTGATCATTTTGAATTCAGGGACAGTTTTCCTAATAACATTAAAAGGCACAAGTCATTTTTCCATTTGGAAAGAGATGCTGGGTAGAAGGAATGACCTTTGCCGTTGCATAATGACACTTTTTTCTGTTCTGTTGGTTTCAGATGCTTTCTGCCTACCCATTAAGTGATTTAACTCAGCTACCCACACAGTGTTACCTAGTGACTACGCAGCTAAGACTTACTGGAGGCCAAAATTACCCACTGTTATTTTCTAGTTACGCTTTATTTCTACTTTGGCAAATGTAAAACTGAAGATGTACTTTAAAAAGATGTGAATTTAACTACCGGAGGCACGCCTCAGTCTCAGGAACTCAGGCAAGACAGAGCTGCATGCTGATCCTCCCTCCAATTATCCCTGAGCGGAAACTAAAGTAGGCTCATAGTAAGCCCTCCTCACCTGTGCACAGCCCGCCAGGGCACAAGGACCATATAGGCCATTATTGTTAGCAGGGCCACACAGAGCTCATCCAAAGTCACACAACAGATCTGCAGCAGACATTGGAACTGAAATCAGTTGAAACTGAAATAAAATCCACTGCAAGTGGAAGGCGCTGGAGGGGGGAGTATGAGGCCTGTAGAAGTGTGAGGCCAAAGCGGGCGAGAGGGAGAGGGAGAAAAATAAAAGTGAGAGGCAAGAGGGAGAGAGCACGCGAGGCCAAGGGGGACAGGGGAAAAAAAAGTGGAAGGGAAAGAGCAGAGCACTCAGAGGGGAAGTGGGAGGCCAGACAGGTAGAGGTGGAACAGAGAAGGAGGAAAATAAAAATGAAAACCTGACGGGAGAGACAAAGGCTGAGAGTGAGAAGAAGGGGGGGGGGAGCGCTGAGGAGGAGACAGCAAGAAGCCAAAGGCCAAGGAGGAGAGCACAGAGCAAGACCCACAGGTCTGGGTGGCCAGAAGGGGAAGCAGAAGGGGAATGGGAGGCCATGGGAGAGCGTGCAAGGGCAGAGGGAGATGGGGAGACTGAGTGGGAAGGGGGAGCCCCAAAGGAGAGAGGGGGAGGAACATAAAAGAGCAGCAGGCCAAGGGTGAGGGAGAGGAAAATAGGGAGCCAGAGAGGGGAGGTAAATAAAGGAGTGGGAGGCCAATAGAAGGAGGGAGAGGAGTCCAAGCAGCCTGACTGGTAGCTGCTTGTAAGGGATGTGATCCTGCTTCCTTCTTCCCACAGCAGGGGCAGCACCTGACCCTGCAGTTGAGCCTGTACAGACCATAAAACCAGCAGAAAATAAACTTTCTAATAATTTAAGATAACAAAGAGTTTTCCACCTGTTGGGTTCCCAGAACCAGACTGCAGAAGAGCTGGGGAAGCTTGGGAGCTGGCATGGGAAAGAGGTGGAAACACACAAAATTTCTCTTACTGCTGGCAGCAAGCCACTGTATCATCAAATCATCCCTTTCGCTCATGAACCTGCAGCAGTCTAAGTGCCGGCTGAGTCCTGCGCTGCTGAAGGCTGTGTACACTTACAGTCTCGTGAACTGCAGACTTGGAAGCTGCTGGCACTTCAGAAAGAGGACAGAAAAGGAAGAATTAAAAGGGACAGAAATGCAAGCTTTAAGGACAAGTACTAAGAGAAAGTTCTTGGTTTAAGAGGCAGCAAAATCAAAGGCAAGAAGTCAGGAGCATATAAGCAGGAGAAAAGGAGAAGAAAGGTAATCCTGGAAGGGCAATAAAGCAGAGTCTTTGAACAAAATCACGAAGTTTATCAGAAAAGCTGAAGCCCAGACAAGAGATGTTACAGTACTCCAAGAGCAGTTCTGGGCTGGCAGGGACAGTGTACTGAGACAGGATTTCTAAGAGGTGTGAAAAAGGTTGATAGATACAAAGGAAAAATTGAGAGGTGAAGGGAAGCATTAAGGGAAGTATAAGGTGGTCAGTTTTGGATAGAAAGCAGCTTGGGCAGGAAGCAGAGAGGAGAAGCATCCTGAAGATAGCCAGCAAGATAGAGCAGATACCAGGAAAGTCTAAAAAGGGGAAAGGGTCAGAAGCTCCCTTCATTCTCATGGCGGCTGCATCAGTCTCTAAATAAAAATCAAAAGGAGAGCAAAGAGCACAGCTAACAAAGCCAGAGACAGAGTTAAGGGCAGAAGAAAGTCCACATAAAATGCAGTTTTCCTTGTCAAGAAGTGAAGTGAAAGAGCTAACTGAAGGAACAGCCCAATGACCACTGTGGTCAGAGAGACTCAATATAACCAACTCCTCCCCCAGTCCTCACTGTCTTTCACCTCATGGCAATTCAGCAGCGACGAGCCCCTGGTTATACATCCTCTATACATCCTTCAATTGGCAGTTCTGCAGCAGATGGTAGCGACAGGCACGGATTTGCTTATTGAGTACAGGAAACAAATCAAGAAACTAAGCCATGCTGGCCTTTAAACCCCTATTTTAAGGTACCAGTGACATTTCCAGTCTTGCACTTTATGAGATTACTGGTGAGAAGGAAGAAGAGAGAGAGGAGGTTTAATGCGGCTGTTCAGGCTCCAAATTCCAGATCAGACTTTCCTGTAAATGTGGTACATCTCTTAGAACTGTTTCTTGATGCCTCAGATGCCAGCTTCCCCACAGCACAAACCAACTTCATCCTCCCTCTCAGCAGTATCACCACCTCCTCCAAATTCACTCCCCAAAACCAGGGAAGATATGAATACTCTCTAACCTTTTCCTGCAACAACTGTAGGTGGACTGCCTGCATCACATCTGAAATACACTACTTTCACAGTGCAGAGATTTTGGCTTTCTGAGGAGTATCTGGCATTTTTGAGTCATTGCTGTCTTAAAAAATGAAGTAGGAGATGAAGAGCACATACCACACACTCCCACGGGGACATGTCAGGTAGTGATCTGCAGTTGCCACTCTGTGGTTTTGCAACCTGCAATCCTGGAAATGTCCCAGCATGTCCGCACAGGGGCTATGCCACATGCTTAACACCTGGAGAGGACCAGGTGAGACCTGGCTACTCAGGACTCAAACCCATGCCCTTTGTAAGCACAAGTGTCATTCAACAGTGATCAAGCAGCAGATTTCAAGGCTACTAGAGCAATGGTCTTTCCTTGGAAAAAAGCTACAGCTCTGGAGGGGGCTGCAAGGCGGGGTACATACAAGCAAAACAGCCACAACGTTTCTGTATTTGTGCATATTTCAGCTCACATTGATAAACCCTCTAGGTTCAATTTACAAAAGCAGCACATTTCCCCTGCTGCTAACCCAAGTATGTTCTGCCAGAGCTCCACTGAGAATAGTCAGTTCTTGCTTTTCTTTACAGTAAGTAGTGACACCACCACGCAGCTGCCATCAAAAGTCATATTTTGTCTACTGAAGTGAGCAGAATCACATCCAAGAGAAATACCATCCTTTAAAACCCCTGCGCACAGTTGGGTTTGAACAAGCAAGCTTCACGTGCAGAACACATTATTCAACGCTCTCCTGTTTTCCTATCCAAGTTAAAAGGGCTGCAAACCAACACCAAACAAAAAACAATGAGACTTCTTCCCCATTTCATTATTTCTTCATCTTCCAAAGATGGAAAACAACACTTTGGTTCATGACTGTTTGCATCTTCTGGAATTACTGATGCTCTCACGTTCCTGAGCGCTATGTCTCTGGGCTGTCACCAATCCACGCCTGCTTTGGGGAATACTAAAAAAACCTGAAAAAATAAATACTGCTCGGCAAAAACTTTAGGTTTAGCTCTACTATTACCACGCCGCTGTAAATCTGCGCCAAGACCTGGCACCAAACGCCGGGCAAGTTCCAGGTCGCAGCACGGCCGGGCACCCCCCTCCCTCCTCAGCGCCGCGGCCACCCCCG